ACTTAGATCCTTACCATGGCCTCTCACTGCTCAGAGGACAAAGACCAGAATCCTTGGAGAGGCCCAGAAGCAGTGCAGGGCCTGGCCCCATCACACCCCTGCCTGGCTGTCTCCTTCCCTGGGGCCCTGTTGGGCCTTCTCTCCCAGGTCCTGAACTCGCAGTGCCCTGCTCCTGCAATGCCTTCCCCATGCACCCCTTGGCCCTTGTTGACTGCAGCTCCTGGCTTGTGGGACAGCTCAGCAGGGCCCATCCCGACCCATTTGTACAGGTGACATTCCTCTGTCATATTCTTCATGGCACCACACTCTCTCATTTCAGGACATTTACTTTCCCTTGCTGTTGCATAGTCATAGTTATTCATGTTTCATCTCTCTTAGGCTGTGAACTCCCCGAGGGCGGGAGCCGTGGCTATCTTGGCTCCAACTGTGGCTGCCACATGGAGACCTTCATGTGTGTTTGTAGAGTGAATAGAGTGAATTAACTTGAGTGCAGAATAACAGAAGACTGTTGGGGGCAGCTCACGTGGAAGCGGCTTTGCATTTCCATCCCCATCCCCACTTCTGGGTCCCCCTTCCCCTCCACACAACATCCTCTCCCCACCTTTCTCGCTCTCTCTGGGCTCTGCAGCTGGTCACTGCTGCCACAGTGTCTCAGAGTGGAGGCTTAGCAAGGAGTGCGTTATGGAGGACAGATTTCTGCCACAGACTTCACCAAAGTGGAACCATAGCTTCCATTTGGCTCAGGCTCTTTGGGAGGATTTGGCGTCTTTGGTTACCTCTAATCTTACCTATGTGTAACCACACATTTTGGTCTTTTTCTTAAATCTTTTAGATAATTATCAGATAATTTTACTTACCTGTTATTCTACCACTTTCTACCTTGCCTTTTCTTCAGGCCACCCCCAAGTGCTATAACCTGCCTAAAGGTTAGGACATAAACCGCTTCCACATGTTGTTCTGTGGGCATAACCCAGATGGCACAAACACCAGCATTCCCAGTTTTCCTTTGTCACTTCAGAATGCTGACAGGCAAAGAAGAGCGTTTTCCTTAGTCTGAAAAAGTGATGTGTGCTTATTAAAACTGCTGCATGTATTTGCTAACAGGAGTAAGATTGACAAGTTTTAAAATATGATTTAGATTCAGTTTACTTGGCTAAGTGTCTCTCTCTCTCCATAATACACATATTTCAAGGAAAATATTGGATATTACAAAAGGCCACCCTTATCTTTTACTGTCCTATCAAGATGAGTTGTTTTTTCCAAAATATCAATCTTTTTAGGCTATAATTTTCCTACTGGTTATTAAGACAGACCTTTAGGATAGAGTGAAAACATTTTAATGTCAGTTTATTCTAATCTATGGTTTTTTTCTTAGTTTTTTTTAAAATCTACTTTAAAATTTTACATCAGTTGTCAGTGAAACCAATATAATCCAAGATATTTCTCTTTCTCTCTTTTTTTCATTAGAAAATTGCCCCCCAAAAGGTAAAAACCAGAGGTAGACAGGTAGATTCATACATACCTATTCCTCATTGCTATTCTTGCTCAGAAATGGAGGTGAGGAGTTGCCCTTGTACTTGTGTTTTAGATTAAGACTGTCAAATTACCCTGTGAAATCAAATGTTTGTTTTCTCAATTTTAGCACTTTAAAGATCAGAATTCTGTATCTAAAAACTTTTCTAAGTCTGTGATGCTGTTTTTTTTTTTTTTTTCTTTTTGGAGATGGAGTCTTGTTCTGTCATGTCCAGGCTGGAGTGCAGTGGCACAATCACAGTTCACTGCAATCTCCACCTCCCAAGTTCAAGTGATTCTCCTGCCTCAGCCTCCCGAGTAGCTGGGACTACAGGCATGTGCCACCACACCTGGCTAGTTTTCTGTATCTTTAGTAGAGACAGGGTTTCACCATGTCAGCCAGGATGGTCTCCATCTCCTGACCTTGTGATCCGCCTGCCTCAGCCTCCCAGAGTGCTGGGATTACAGGCGTGAGCCACTGTGCCCTGCCGTCTGTGATTCTTTATAAAGGGCCAAATCTATATTTTTAACCTCACTTGAAGTCATCCTTTGAACATCGGCTGTCCCTGGAAAATAATTGACTCTGGGAGATTTGTCTCCACTGACATACCCTCGACAGGAATCAAACGTTCCGGCAGCTCCTGAGTGAAGCCGTCCCCATGCAAGTAACAGCAGCCTGTGAGTTTACACAGTTGTGGATGCTGCCTGAATTGTTTTCTATCTCCCCTGTGGCTTCTCTGCTACTCAGTAGGAGAGTGGAAGTGCCCAACCTTACACAGACTTTTCCGAATCAACAAAACCATGCTTTGATTGCTGCAGCCTTGGACATGAATCCAGAAGCATCAGGTTGGCTTTGAGTTAGCCATTCTGTTGCCTGCACATACAGTATGCATTCCGTGCCTGTTTAAGGTGGACTTTTATCTACATGGCCCCATAGAAGACAGTCAGTAACTTGGGGAATGCCTACACAAGGTAACGTTGGGTAGCTGCATCAAAGCCACATCGAGGAAGAATACTTAGCGACTGACATGGTTTGGATGTGTTCCCTCCAAATGTCATGTTGAAATGGCCTCCAGGGTTGGAGGTGGGGCTAGGAGGTGTTTGGATCCTTGAGGGGGATCCCTTATGAATGGCTTTGTGCCATCCTGGCAGTAGAGAATGACTTCTCACTGTTAGTTCATACAGAGCTGGTCGTTTGGAAGAGCCTGGGACCACCTCCTCTCTCGGCATGAGATGCGCAGACTTCCCCGTGCCTTCCCCTATGCATAAAAGCTTCCCGAGGCCTCACCAGAGGCTGAGCAGATGATGGTGCCATGCTTGTACAGGCCGCAGAACTGGGAGCCAAATTAATCTCTTTTTCCTTTGTAAATGATCCAGTCTCAGGTATTTCTTCATAGCAGTGCAGTACAAAACAGACTACAGTAGTGACACTGGAAAGTATATAATAAAAATGCTGGGTGATATTTATTGAGCATAAATTATGTGCCAGACACATATGTTAACATATTTCATCCTCAAAAACTGCATAAGTATTTCCCAAGTTCACAGAGTGAGTGGTAACCACTAGGCAACCCTGCCTCTGTACCATGTATTATCTCCTTTTTTATTTACTAAACAATGCAGAAGATAATGCTCACAGTTTCTAGTAAACATTATTCATACCTGTGTGTGTGTGTGTGTGTGTGTGTTTGTGTCTAGCACTCTCTGGAGGCAAGATGATAGGTGATTTTAATTTTTTTCATCATATCCCAATCTTTCTGCAACACAGATGGATAAATGTTACAAAAAGAACAAGAAGAATAGATTTCCTTAGCACTAGGCATGTTTACACAAAGTAGGAAGAGAAACAGGTTTCAAAACAGAATCATGATCAACCTTCCTACAGTGTTATATGCCCTTATGTCTTCCATTACTGGGAGAAATTAAGGACTGACCATAGTCGACTCTGCAAGGGAGACCAGTTTTTGTCCAGTTGTTGGACACTTGCAGGTGACTTGCTCAAGGTCGGAATGAATGTAAGATAGCATTCAAGCTCAGTTAAAGAAGGTTTTTTTCCTAGAAAAGTACGCATTTAGGATGATTTGCCCAAGCTCCACTTTCTTTTTTTATTAGTCTGCTTCCCTTGCCTGAGAATCTGCAGACCTCCCTACCTCTATCCTGTGATCAAGCCCCACTTGTCAATAATCTTGGAGAAAAAATTTCCCTCCCTGTGTCATGACCACCCGTGTTTCACTAATGAATGCAACTGAAAGCGCTAAAACTCTTTTATTCCACAAAAGACTTCCCAGCACTCCCCAGTGTGGAGTCCCTGCCTCTGTGCCTCCACTGTGGCCTGGTGGCAGTGTCTTCAGCAAGTTAATTGCTTTGCTTTTCTTTTTTTCCTAGTGGGATGTGAGTTCTGCAAAGGCAGGGATTTCTCTGTCTGGCAGGCTGCCTGTATGTTGCCGGCACACAGGGCGCTTTCCAAAGGGAAGTGACACACCACGACGTGCCTCTTGTGACTCATCATCTCAGGCATGCCAGCTCTTGAGGCCACACTTAGACTGAAGAAATCAGAGGAATCAGTCACAGGTGCAGGAGTCAAGAAAAAACAGATTGGGTACCAATTAAGAGCAATTTTGAGAGCCTTATGGAAGTACAAAACAGACATTACCAAAGGATGAAAGACACCAGCCTCAAGCTTTTACTCAGCTGTATGAATGACATGGGGAAGCAACTGCTGCTGTTAGTGAAAGCTTCTTTTTTTTTTTTTTTTTGAGACAGAGTCTCCTTTTGTCGCCCAGCCTGCTGGAGTGCTGTGTCACAATCTCGGCTCACTGCAACCTCCACCTCCTGGATTCAAGTGATTCTCAAGACTCAGCCTCCTGAATAGCTGGGACTACAGGCGTGTGCCACCACACCTGGCTAATTTTTCTATTTTTTGGTAGAGACAGGGTTTCACTGTGTTGGCCAGGTTGGTCTCAAACTCCTGAACTGAAGTGATCTGCCTTCCTCAGCCTCTCAAAGTGCTGAGGCATGAGCCACAATACCTGGCCAGGGAAGGTTATTTTTAACATTTTTATACTTTTGTCTTTTTGAGGGTCTCCCTCTGTTACCTAGGCTGGAGTACAGTGGCGCAGTCACTGCTCACAGAAGCCTCAGTCTCTTGAGCTTACACCACCCTCCCACCTCAGCATCTCATGTAGCTGGGACTGGCTAAATTTTTGAAATTGTATTTTGTAGTTATGGGGTCTCACAGTGTTGCCCAGGTTGGTCTTGAACTTGGCCTCAAGCAATTCTACTCCCTAGGCCTATTGTACTTGCACGATGGAAATTGAATACAAAGGCAGGTGTTGTTTTAATTCACATTTATGGACAAGTTACAGTCTCCCGTTGTCATCTGTGTCTTCTGAGGAGTAGCCTGTTTGATTAAATAAATTCTGGCTATTTGACTTTAATTCATTTGCCTGAAAAGAAGCATGTTTTCTTTGTACGTCTCCTTTGAACAGCATCCTGGTGGGGAGGAAGTCCTAAGGGAACAGGCCGGAGGTGACGCTACTGAGAACTTTGAGGATGTCGGGCACTCTACAGATGCCAGGGAATTATCCAAAACATATATCATTGGGGAGCTCCATCCAGTAAGTACATTTTGGGGGGGCCTTTCTTATTTGTCTTTAAGGCTATCAGATGACCCTACCCAAATCTGTAAGCTTGCATGTACACACATTTAAAAAGGAGTAAGGGAAAAAAAACTCCTGATTTTTAGGACACCGTTTTTGTCATAGATAAATTGACCAAAAATGTCTTTGCATTTCACTGCTCACTGTTTATTGTTTGTTTGTTTTTTGAGATGAGTCTGGCTCTGTCACCCAGGCTGGAATGCAGTGGCATGATCATGGCTCACTGCAGCCTCGACTTACTGGGTTCAAGTGATCCTCCCGCCTCAGCCTTTTGGTGGCTGGGACTACAGGTGCACACCAGCACACCTGAAAATTTTCGTATTTTTTTAGAGACCGAGTTTCACCGTGTTGCCTAGGCTGGTCTCAAATTGGGCTCAAGCCATCCACCTGCCTCTGTCTCCCAAGTGCTGGAGTTACAGGTGTGAGCCCCATGCGCAGCCTGGTTGCATTGTTTGCTGGCACTTCGTTTCAGTGGGCATCCCCACCCCAAGGCCATGCACTGGGGAGTACTTCTCGGTCCTAGAAATTCCATGCGGCAGCACTTGTGAAAAGGTGGGAGAAGCAACCCAGCATTGTTCTCTTTCCTTTTCTGACCAAAATATTTTTATTAAGAACCCACTTCTACTTTCATTAGACCAAGGATATTTTAGTTCCAAAAAATGAGTTAAAAAATATAGAAACTGGGCTCTCTGAAATGAATAAGCTCTGTGTTCTGTAGAACTAGCACTCTGTATTCTGCTCACTTTGCCCCAGACGTTTGGCAGTGTCAGCTCTGGACCAGTCCATTGGCCAACTTTTGGAAAACTGGCCATGGCCTAATTTGGCTTTTCTTTCCTTTTCATCTTTTTTTTTTTTTTTTTTTTTTTTTTTTTTTGAGACAGTCTCTCATGCTGTCACCCTGGCTGGAGTGCAATGGTGTGATCTCGGCTCACTGTAACCTCCACCTCCCGGGTTCAACCAATTCTCTTGCCTCAGCCTCAGCCTCCCAGGTAGCTGGGATTACAGGCACCCACCTCCATGCCTGGCCATTTTTATTGTATTTTTAGTAGAGATGGGGTTTCACCATGTTGGCCAGGTTGGTCTTTCTGACCTCACATGATCCATCCACCTCGGCCTCCCAAAGTGCTGGGATTACAGGTGTGAATCGCCATGCCTGACCCTACTTTGGCTTTTCTGTAAACACTGGGCTGTGTTAGGATTTTAGACCCTTCTGTGGAAGTCACAGAATGACCACGTTAAATATCATTAGTCTGTCAACCTGAATTACCAGGAAAATAGCTGAAAACTTGGAAAGAAGTCTCTGAGTGCTCTGAGTATCTCGAGTGGGTCCCAGGGCCGCTCACTCAGCCGCCTTCCCCATCTCTGGGAGCACCTGGCTCCATCCTGCCCTCCCACTTGTGAGCCTGGTGAGCAGCCCACCAGAAGGGGACAGAGGCCTGCTGGGAGCCGGCTCTGCTCTCATAAGAAAAAAACATAGAGGCAAATAGCCTCATTCCAAGTGAGCAAACTGAGAAACTCTTAGAAAATATAGGAGAAGTCTTATTATATACCGCAGATGCTTCCTGTAATGACTGAATGAAGGAAAGGTTCCATTAGGCTCTTTGTAGAAGGCTTGACATTAGGAGACACGTTTGAGAACAACTTCCAGTGAGCGGGGAGGTCTGTCTGCTTTTGTTTGATGGTAGGAGATACATGCGTTGAGGGAGTAGGCTTCGTTTATCTGGCAAGTCTATGTGCCCCTGTATTTTCATCCCATACTTCACAGCGGTGAAGTTGCTTCGGGGCTGTCAGGGAGGCCTGCCTTTACACGCGCCTGATCCCGACCTGTTCTTTCCAGCTGTAGGGTAGGTTTCAGGCCCCGGCTAAGGCATTTCTGCTTCACCTACCCCCTGGACTTCCCCCTGGCCAGCCTTTAAACACACTGTATTTTTGACAGCTTCAGCCTGAAGTTTAAATAGTTTATGCCTCTAAAACTGGGAGATTGCAGGAGTTAACTGAAGATATCACACACAAGATATACTGCACAATCTCAAATGGAATTTGAGAGGACAGACGGGAAGAATCAGTCTTCAGCTGCTCCCTGAATTGTGTATTGCAATCTGAGTCTAATAAATGTATGTGCACATCAGCACGTACAGAGGACCGGCATGGCTGCTGTTCTAAACTTTGGGACTCAGATGGAAAACATCTCTTGGCACTTAATCTGCTACTAATTTTTGCTGTGAAATCAGATGGATCAAACTTTGTGTCTAATAGCTGAATGTTGAAACTGAAATGCTAATTGCTGAATTCTTTTTTTTTTTTTTATCTCACAGTGAGCATTTTGGAAGTAGTGCTTTTGTAGATTTTCCATAATGTGCCTTACTTTTTCATTGCAGGATGACAGACCAAAGTTAAACAAGCCCTCGGTAAGTGCGACCGTTTCTGATGTCTCTGGGTGTTTTCATTGTATTTAATTCTTGTCAAACTGAAGGCAGAGGTCTTTTATTTACCTGACTGAGGCCAGCACAGGTCTTTCTAGGTAAATGAATATGTAACCTACTGGCTCAGCAAATATTTTTTATTTATGGAAACCTGTCAGTATGATTTGTTAGGATGGCTTGTGTGTAATTTTTTAAGGCTATCAATATTTAAACTACTTTTTTCATCATAATTATCAATATACCCTTTGAAGAGCTACTTTTCATAGTAGCTCTGTGCTTCTGATCTAAAAGATTTGACATAAGCCTTATTTTCAGAGGACATAAAATCTGAATGGATAGCGGTTTTACTACTTACATCTTTAAGGATGCCTCTTATGTTTTCTTCATCTTGAAGTCTCTTGGGCATAGTAGGTGTTCAATAAATACTTGTCAGATGAATTTAATGAAATTAAATAGTATTATTTTACTTATTTTTCCTTGGGAAAGGAAAATAACTGTGGTAATATACAGGTTCCATGTTCTGATTCACTAGCCTTTCTCTCTGAACTGACCGTCTCACTTATATTTGAAGATAAATGTAGGATGAGAACCAGTGTGCACATCCTAAGTTCCTGAAAAGTACAGGTCAGCAAAATCGTTTCTAGCATCTAATTAAAGCACTGTGGGGGAAAGTTTTGCTTAAAACAAATAATAAAAAAGAAGGTATGATTTTTAATTTTGGTATAAACTCTTGGTTTCATTAGAGAAAGTGCCACAGCAAACCTCACTGAGCTTGTGTCGAGAACTGGTAAGCTGATTTTTTGAGCTGTTGCTGCCCAGCAGTGTCTTTAATCTGCAGTAGGATCGAAGCCGTTAATCCAATAGTATGAGCATAAAGGCCACAGTTGCCTCAACAACCCTGCTGGTACAGCAAAAGTCTTATGTAATACTGCTTTAGTGCAAAGCAATTTCATTTATATTCTCTCCTTATTCAAGACAGGCTTAAGTTCAATGTTAATGATATGAGTACTTCCAGAAGATAAAAAATGGACTTCAGAATTTGAACGGCCTCTGTGACAATTGCTTGGAATCCTTGCTGGGAGCTCATTTGACTTTAGCACCTTTTTGAGGCTACTTTTTGGACAGCCGAATTCTGTGATGCGTCCAGTTTTTCCTTTTTCTCTGAAGTCTCTTAAGGGAAGAGTGTGTATATATATATATACTTTTATCATGTGTTTAGTATGTTAATCATTTTGGTGTATGTTATTTAGCTATAGTAAAACAAAGGTTTAAGATTCATTCGATGAACTTCGACGACCGCAGGACCAGCAGTTTCCCTAAACCGTAAAGACTACAAGCAGGAAACACTTTTAGGTGTAGATTATAAACATGTCTCCTGCCACCACTGCTTTCTGTTTGAAGGACAGAGCCTTTCCTTTTTTATTTTCTTTTAGAACACGTGTATTACAACCTGTACTCTGTTCGATTCATTGCCCATTACTATTTGTTATGCTTATTTTTCTATTTTAAAGTGGCAGTTACTTTGATACTGAGAGTATTTTGGGAACAGAGGAAGTTTACACACTAAATCCCAGGACTTTAGCTTTTAGTATCAAAGAAAGCTTTTCTGACATTATGATAGAGTGACAGCTCTCTGTGTTAAGACCTGGCTTCCTTCATTGCAGCATTAGCAGTCGATATTTGATCAGCTTGTTACCACCGGTAGAGGGTCTCACTGAAGTTTGAGAATCACACTCACTTTTAAAAGTAGATGTCTTTTTTTGTTTGTTGGTTGATTTTTTTGAGACAGAATTTCTCTCTTGTCGTCCAGGCTGGAGTGTAATGGCGTGATCTCGGTTCACTGCAACTTCTGCCTTCTGGGTTCAAGCGATTCTCCTGCCTTAGTCTCCTGAGTAGCTGGGATTACAGGCACCTGCCACCATGCCCAGCTAATTTTTGTATTTTTAGTAGATAGGGGGTTTCACCTTGTTGGCCACGCGGGTCTCAAACTCCTGACCTCAGGTGATCTGCCCGCCTCAGCCTCCTAAATTGCTGGGATTACAGATATGAGCCGCATAAGCCATGGTGCCCAGTCTAAAGTAGATGTTTTTACTCTCTTCAGAGATTTTACAGATTAATCAACTTTTGAGTATTTTTTTAATCAACTCTTCTTTATTGTAACTTTGCTTCAATGGGAGCTGAATCAGAAGAATGTGAGACAAGAACTTGCTGGCTTTTTTTTGAGAGGCCATAAGCAGATGAAATGAAAGGAAATACATGAGCACTCTTTTGGCTTGATCTTTTTGTGCTTTCAGTTGAGCAGAAGAAAAGAGTACCCTTTGGTGTTTCTTTTGTCATGTGTCTGTATAACCATCTACCGATCTCCAGATTGAAAACCATACACTGTGTTCTGAATATTTGAAATGTGGCCTGCTTGAAATACCTAGTTGAATAGTGAAATAAAATGCAGTAAAGATTATTAGCTTGAACCTACCCTAATGAAAGCATAGTGTTAAGTTGCCAAATTACTTGTAGACATACAGATTATGCATTTGAATTGAACATAAATCTTTCTATCACATTTGATTACATAGAGAAGATTAGTAGGAGCAATAACCCTTCTTGGTTATAGTTTTCAAAACATTCTTATAGAAAGTATTCAGTCCTCACAGTATCTCTGTGTTAGACCTGCCAAGGGAGGTGAGTCCATTGCAACTGGGATATTAGGCACCCGGCTCACAGTTCCTGCTCCAGAACCATCCAGCACCCGTCTCAGGCTGGTCAGCTACAGTCTCTTCAGCTTCTTCTCTCAGTCGTGGGCTTGCCACATTGAGCATCACTCTGTCAGTACTTTAAGGGAAAAAGGCTTCCAACTAAGCTATGTTAGATGAACTTACAAATGAGATGATTCTGATTTACAAAGGCTTGTTGGGCTTTGCATGCTTTTCATAATTTATGGAGCTTAAAATTTACACCAATTCACATGACTTTTATAAGTCATTATGCATGAAATACTTATTTTTATTTTTTATTTTTTTGAGACGGGGTCTCACTCTTGCCCAGGCTGGAGTGCAGTGGCATGGACCCCGACTCACTGCAACATCCACCCTCCGGGGTCAAGCAGTCCTCCCACCTCAGCCTCCCGAGTAGCTGGACCGTAGACACACACCACTGTGCCCAGCTAATTTTTGTATTGTTTTGTAGAGACAGGTTTCGCCATGTTGCCCAGACTGGTCTCAAACTGTTGGACTCAAGCATTCCACCAGTCTCAGCCTCTCAAAGTGCTGGGATTACAGGCATGAGCAGCCATGCCTGGCCTTTGACACACTGATTTAATTGTTAACCTCTTTTTACTGAACTTGAACCCTCAAAGTCATCGAGTAAACAGGTGGCAGAGCCGATCATAAAAACTGGTTCTTCCCTCCTTCACTGCATTGATACTTTGATGGTCACATGCGTAAGCGAGGCCCTCAGCACTGACCACTAAAGACCAATTACTGTTTCATCAAAGTGCAAAGTGGTAATTCAGATTTCCTTTAACTGTCAAGCATCCTGGGCTACAGAGCCAAGAAGATCTCAGCAATCAAAAGGTGATAGAATTATTTCAGGTTCTGCTCTTTAGAGTTCATGGCTGTTGCTGGTGGCGCTGATGTGAGGGCGGTGTTTTAACCTTAGCACTCACCCATGGTAACCACGAAGGCGGCAGGAGGGCAGGCGGGAGGTTCCAGAGTTACCAGCATGTGGGTGAAATGCCTGCGCTCAGGCTCAGGTTAACAGCGCGGTGGGTGCTTGTTTGCCTTCCTTCCTGTTTCAAGCTTCACTTTCTAGTTTGACAATCATATGTTACCTTCAATGATTCTTTTGTTTCAGAACTGATCGTGTCCTCTAATAGCTATTTTTGTATATTCTGATTATTTCTAGTAATCTTTGCTAATTTTATTCATATATGCAAAATTTGGAAAATCATCTTGCTATAGTTATGAATACTTTTTATAGATGCTGAGATTTTAAAATTGCTGGAATAGACGATAAATTTACAAGTTTAGTTTTAAACGACTTACCTTTTTTCTCCTACCGTGTCAGGAACCTTAAAGGCCATGTTTCAAGGTTGGTGGGTCGCATGACTGCTTTGCTGGCTTTTCCCTGACAGGTGTCTGTCGGGAGTTTCTCTAATGTGCTTTGCAGAGTGGTGCTTTGCCTCACTGCAGGCCGCTGATGGTTTTGCTAATGCTTTTTAATCTGTGCTTTGGGAAACTGCAGATCTGAAGCTGCAACTTCTGTTTGAGGCACTAATACTTTTGCTGGTGTGGAACATCAAAATAATGCTTCTTAACACATTTTCAAGTCCAGAAAAGTTTTTATTTCACCAGACCTTAGCTTTTCAGCTGTTTGGAGAAGTGCGTGTTTTTCCAGAGTGTCGTCAGTTCACTTCAGTGCTACTCAAAAGACAAGCTGCTCCCAGAAAGCCCTGGAGAATAAAAACAGGGCTTCCTTATTTGGGGATTTGCTGTTAGGGTGGCAGCGACCAGTGACTGGTGACAAGTGTGACACTGGGCACAGCAGTCCTGTGAGGCAGATCTGATGTCTTGCTGGTATTATCTGGTCAGAATTAAAGCAGCCCAGGGAAAGCTGGCCTAGAATATAAAACTTCAAATGGCTGTTCTTACATTTTCTTTTTGGTTGACATGTATTTAATGGAATTTAGGTATACCTTTTCACATCAGTCAGATTTGGATGAAATAACTCATTTTTTTTAAATTGAACATTGTGTCCATGCTTTTGAAGAATTAAACTGCTTTTCCTAAAGGTGATGTGGGATTATGTGTAATGGACATGAGTACCTGTTCTCAGCTTTGCATTAAAGCATTTAGATGTCTATTGTGTGTAAGATATTTTATGTAGCGTATTAATTTTGAGTGTTTTTAAATTATTGAGGTTATGTCCTTAAGTAAATATAGATCATGTTTAAAATGTTTTATTTGGGAAAAAAACAAAGTTAGGCATTTTAGTGAAAAGAAGTTTATGATGGAATTTTCCCTTCAACATCTTCTGAAGAATGCATTGCGTACGATATTGTGCTCTTACTTTCAAACAGGTTTGCAGTCAGTGGAGTACGTTCAGTATTCCCTTGAACTTTACTTTTCCCTCTTGTGTTTCAGGAAACTCTTATCACTACTGTTGATTCTAGTTCCAGGTATGTGGTTGCTTTCTTTTAAAGCAGTGGTGGACGGAAATGCTCATGCGTCCAGGTTGGACACGGTGCTTCCCGCACCTGCTGGGTCCCTGGGCCTGACACTGTGCTGTCTCAGCGACTTTCCTCTGAAGGCCAGAGTGTTCAGAGCACTCATCCCCAAACTTTCAGGCAGCCGACTGTCAACACCATCCACATCCACAGCCGTGTGATCTCGCCCGAGGGCTGCATCCACCCCAAGGAACATACAGAACAATGGCATTTCCTTCCTCGCCACCCCCAACCTGGGCAGCAGCAGGCGGCCAGTCCCACAGCTGCTTTCTGGCTTATCTGGGCAGAATTCTACTTCCTTCCTTTCAATGCATGTCTGTTTCTTAAACACTAATGAGTACATTTCCCTTCGCTTGGCTTGGTTTTCCTTGGTCGTTGTTATTAGTTAGCTGTAAAGTTGCAGCTGGTAATCTATGTGTAGCAAGACTTGATTGTTCTAGGGACCAGATTTGGTTTTTACAGCCCAAGGGCATATTGACATTTTTGGCAGCTTTACCATACTGACTTCTGTCATAGTCACTTTTTTGGACCCAAGCTCAAAAGCAAACATATGTATTTCATCCTGCCAAACTGAACGGCCTCAGTCTGTTGGTGTTCTGGAGCATTCCCTGTCTGCAAGCAGTAGGCAGTATTTCACTTAACTCTTCATTAACAAGCCAGTTTCTTTCTAAAGTGAAATTGAAAACCCCACTAAATCCCACTAAGACGAAAGTTACACTTGTAATCCTTACAAAAGGATTATACTTATAATTCATGTGAAACACATATGTATACCTATTTATATTCTAAAGCCTACACATTAATTTCTGTTTCATAAGAAATTCAAATCTAAATTGAAGATCAAAATTTAAAGATTCAAATAGAAATTATAGCTCATCCCTCCTTTCATTCGTAATCTATAATTTATAGATCAAACTTCTATGCATCAGGACTGTAAATTAGGCATTTTGTGTGTGTGAATTTAGACCTGTGGACCACACACAAAAAACAGTTTGGTCATTCTGTTTCTTCACCTTTAAATCCACTTCAGCACAGGTTGTAACGGTTAGAGTTTTCCAAAACTAAGCTTAAAGCTGTGGTGTTCATGGCAGCCTTAACAATCACAGGGTCCATATTCTTCAACTTTACAGCTGGTGGGACATTAGTTTTTTTGTTTGTTTATTTTTGTTGGTTTGTTTTTGACAGAGTCTCACTCTGTCGCCCAGCCTGGAATGCAGCGGCACAGTCTTGACTCATTGCAACCTCTGCCTCCCCGGTTCAAGTGATTCTCCTGCCCCAGCCTCCCAAACAGCTGGGATTACAATTAGCTCCTGCCACCATGCCCAGCTAATTTTTGTATTTTTTTGGTAGAGAGAGGGTTTCATTTTGGCCAGGCTGGTCTTGAACTCCTGACCTCAAGTAATCCATCCACCTTGGCCTCCCAAGTGCTGGGATTACAGGCCTGAGCCACCACACCCAGCCCGATGGGGTGTGAGTTTTCTCATAAAGCCAGCAGGGCAGTGATTGCTGCTATTCCAGGGCATCCATTGCACTCACGTCACTTTTAGCAAATCCCGGTTGTCTTTTCAGTGAAATTGGTTACAGAGTTAAGAAAAGCATGCCCTGGTAATTATCTATTAAAAGGAGCAAAGATTTCAAGTTCCCACAGTGAATGTTATGCCAACCTCCTAGCTTTTTGTCTTTCTAGTTGGTGGACCAACTGGGTGATCCCTGGCATCTCAGCAGTGGCCGTCGCCTTGATGTATCGCCTGTACATGGCGGAAGACTGAACACCTCCTCAGAAGCCAGTGCACGACAAGTCTGCTTTGGACACAGGAGGAAAGAAGCCAATGCTAACTACTTCACTGACAGAAACCTTCACTTGAAAAGATTAATTTTAATGTATCTCTTTTTCTTTCTTCCAACATTAGAAACAAAACAGAAAGAACTGTCCTTTCCACTCTCAAATTTTTAATTTTTTGAGTGTGCCTTTTTATTCATCTACTTTGATGTTTCTTTACTATGTAATTTACTTATTATAAGTATGATCTTTTAAAAATATATCTGGCTTTTAAAGTATGCACTGTTTGCCTGTCTGGTGTATGATTATCTTTAATGTTTAGAATCTCTGATTATTTAGAGGAGTCCTTCAGTGAGTAAATCATTCAGATCCAGGGAGGCTGTGTGATTGGAGGTGGGGAAATAGGTTTGAGTGTCTCCTTCTAAGTATTGTGTACTTTCAATATAGTTTATTTTTTCAAGGAAATTATGAAAGACCAGAAATTCTAGCTTAAGGATTTCCAATATTGTTCTACTTGAAATAGATAATAAAAAGAGAAAGTAGTGACCGGGCGTGGTGGTTTACACCTGGAATCCCAGCACTTTGGGAGGCTGAGGTGGGTGGATCACTTGAGGTCAGGAGTTCAAGACCAGCCTGACAAACACAGTGAAACCCCTGTCTCTACTAAAAATACACAATTGGCCAGGCATAGTGGCACATGCCTGATATCCGAGCTACTTGGGAAGCTGAGTTAAGAGAATTGCTTGAACCTGGGAGGCAGAGGTTGCAATGAGCCGAGATCACGCCATTGCGCTCCAGCCTGGGCAACAAGAGTGAAACTCCATCTCCAAAAAGAAATAGACAAAAGAAGAAAGTAGCCCACAGGGCCAATAAAAGTGACTTTTTCTCTTCACTGATTGAAAAAATCAGTGACTTAAAAACACGTGGACCACGAGAGGGCATCTCAGCTAGCCATTCTCAGCTTAAGCATATCATTGCAAAGACATGCTCAGCTTTACAGGTTCTCAAGTTCTAAGAATTCCTCCTTCAGAGGGGAGAATTGTTTATATACTCTTCTAAGGTAAGGCTGGTTTTCTAGTTTGTAAGGAGACTATGGGACATTGGAATCTGATCTTTGAAGAAATGTAGCAGCTAGTATTGAGCTGTGAGGAGTTCTGGTGTGGCTCTGTCTCCTCATTGGGGCTCTAAGGGGCTGATTCAGTCATCATACTTCCCATTTATTCTCTGCCTTATGTGATATTCTTTTAAATGTAGAACCTTAAAGGATGAATTTGTTAAACCCCGGTACCTGTGTCGTTGGCTGTGATTGAGTGCGTTTGCATTGGTGTGAGCTGACAGTCCACAAGGTTCTTCAAAGCACGTTGGAAGGGAATTGTGTTGTTCTTACAGAGTACAACCTTTATAATCAAAGAGCATGCACTATGTTTGCCTTTACTCAGCGAAAGTTGACAAGCTAGTTTCTATTTCAAAATAAATTACATTTGTTAAGGGACCTGTGTAAATATGTCAGTATTTTTGGTTGTGAGTTTTATTTGTAAGTCCTCACATTTTAGTACTTTTTAAAACATTCCTCCTAAATCACCCATGAAGGGAATCGGAGTGGGTTTGTCATACTTTAGATGACATTAAAGGGTTAACTTGTAAATCATTTTGAAGATGTTGGCTAATAGCAGCTGTTTATCATTAAGAAGCAGAACTTGAACTTTGACATTTTTATCAATGACTCAGCAATTTGCTGCCAGGGCTGTCAATTTTTCTTGTGTTTTGGGAACAATATGTGGAGTAAAGGAGAGCGAGTTTATTTCCTGTTTTGACATTTACAGTTCGTGCAGCCAGAATCTCGAATCTCAAGAAGATATTTGACACCTTTTTCTCTTGCTTTCCCTTCAGAGAGGTGAGACTTCACAAGGCTGCCCTTTCTTTTCATCTGCTGGTTGTGAAAGGAAAATATCTTGGGCCCCCAAAATCACTAAGGAAAAGTCAAGCTGGAAACTGCTTAGGACCAGCCTGCCTCCCATTCCCTTCAGTCACCCCTCTACTCACTGGGATAGATGCATATCTGCCACTTTGGAGAGGCTCATCAGAAACTCAGAGCAGCCCTTTGTGTCTCACCTGTCTGTGACCTGAAAGCTGGCTCCCCACTTTCAGTCTTCCTGCCTTTACTTCAAGATGTCCCACCTTTCCAAACGAAACCAATGTACTTCTTACATTGATGTCTCATGTGCCCCTAAAATGTATAAAACCAAGCTGTGCCTAACCACCTTGGGCACATGTTAGGACCTCCTGACATGCTTTGTCACGGGCATGTCCTCAACCCTGGCAAAATAAACTTTTTTTTTTTTTTTTTTTTTTTTGGTGAGATGATGTCTTGCTCTGTTGTTGCCCAGGCTGGAATGCAGTGGTGTGATCTCGGCTCACTGCAGCCTCCACCTCCCGGGTTCAAGCGATTCTCCTGCCTCAGCCTCCCCAGTAGCTGAGATTACAGACATGTGTCACAACATCTGGCTAATTTTTGTATTTTTAGTAGAGACAGAGTTTCACTATGTTGGCCAGGCTGGTCTCAAACTCCCTACCTCAAGCAATCCACCTGCCTTGGCCTCCCAAAGTGCTGGGATTACAGGCATGAGCCACTGCACCCAGCTGGCAAAATAAGCTTCCTAAATTGATACCTGTCTGATTTTTTGGGGTTCACATGGTTCTTAGCATCCAGTGTGCAAGAGAGTCACTGAGGTGCTCCGGCAACCTCCCTGCTCCTGGGATCACACCCCAGGTATCAAAGGCATGTGAACCAGAGCAACACCATCTTAAGTTAGAGCTGGGTAATGCAAGCCTGAAACCTACAGGGCTGCATTCCCAGACAGTTAAGGCATTCTAAGTCACAGGATGAGATAGGAGGGCAGCACAAAATACCGATTGTAAAGACCTTGCTGATAAAACACATTGCAGTAAAGGAGCAGCCAAAACCCACTGAAACCAAGATGGCCACAAGTGACCTCTGGTCGTCCTCACTGCTACACTCCTGCCAGTGCCACGACCGTTTACAAATGTCATGGCAATGTCAGGAAGTTACCCAATATGGTCTGTAACGGGGAGGCGTGAATAATCCACCCCTTGTTTAGCATGTCAAGAAATAACCATAAAAATGGGCAACCAGCAGCCCTTGGGACTGCTCTGTCTATGAAGTAGCCATTCTTTCATTCCTTGACTTTCTCTTTTTTTTGGTTGTTTGAGATGGAGTCTTGCTCCGTTGTCCAGGCTGGAATACAGTGGTGCGATCTGGGCTCACTGCAACCTCTGACTCCTGGGTTCAAGGGATTCTCCTGTATTCATCTCTGGAGTAGCTAATATTACAGGTGCACGCCACCACACCCATCGAATTTTTTTGTATTTTTAGTGGAGACGGGTTTCACCATGCTAGTCAAGCTGGTCTTGAACTACTGACCTCAGGCAATCCGCCTGCCTTGGCCTCCCAAAGTGCTGGAATTACAGGTGTGAGCCACCGTGCCTGGCCTATTGTTTTCACTTTGCACTGCAGACTCACCCTGAATTCTTTCTTGCGTGAGATCCAAGAACCCTCCCTTGGGGTCTGGATCAGGACTGCTTTCCTGTAACACAGGGACTGTGTTGGGTGCATGTGTGTCAGTTGCTCACCTCTTGGGTTGGAGCCGATGATTAGGGCTCTGATTGGAACAGGCATCTGTCTTCCTCTGGAGGTGTCTAGGCAATGGCGAGTGGAAGTTCTGGAAGCAGATTCTCGTTGCAGGGCGGCCTTTCCAAGGGGTGTGCAGACACAGATGGCATTAGGGAACCGGTTTTTGGATCCTCCGCTTTGATCTAGATCATGGGAGTTGCCTTAGGCTGCTGTAACCAAGTACCACAACTGGGTGGCTTAGAACAACAGAAATTTGTTCTCATCATGCAGAGGCCAGATGTTGTAGATGAAGGTTTCATCAGGCTTGCAGTCCCTCCGACACTCGGGGTGGAATCCTTCCTCACCTCTTGCAGCTGCCGCTGGTGGCCGGCAGTCCTCACCTGGCAGTCCCCACCTCAGTTTTTGCCTCGCAGTCCTTGGCTTGCTGCCACATCTCCCCAGGCTCTGCCTCTGTGTCTCTGTCATAAGGACACATTGGATTACCTACCCCAGCATGACTTTGTCTTAACTGATTACATCTTCATGACCCTGTTTCCAAATAGTCACACTCTGAGGTGCTGGGGTTAGGACTTCCACATATCTTTTTGGGGGACACGGGTCAAACCATAGCACATTCTTTTCTAAAAGGGACCTGATGTTTATGCTGGTGCATCTTTCTTTACTCTCTTGCAATTCAATTCCTCTTCTCCCTCTTTTCAGGAAAGAGGAGATCTTAGCTCAGGCCATTCTAACAAAATGCCTTGGACTGGGTGGCCTTAAAAGCAAACGTTTGTTTCTCGTGGTTCTGGAGGCTGGCAGTCGAAGATCAAGGTCCCAGCAGCTTTGGCATAGTCACATGGTAGGGAGAGGAAGCAAGCTGTCTCGGGACTCTTACGACTGCGTGATGCTACCTCACCTCCTAATACTCCCACATGAGGGGACAGGGTTTCCATATAGGAATTTGGGGGGGGCCATTCCATCCATGACAGAGACCTATTTCTCACTCATCCTGAATTTTAATATTGGATGGGAAAGCTACTGTCAAACATGGTACATAGTGGGGTCTGCGAGTCTGTAATTGAGACACCTCTTTAACCAAGGTACCCCACCCTGTGCTTTCCTTGTCTGGCGTGTGCTCTGTTGACGGTGAAACGTAGAGTAGGAACGGGGCGATTGAGCCTACTGGAGGGTTATTGGAGTTCAGATGGACAGTCAGCAGCAGAGGCAGTGACACTGCACTGAGCAGTATCTGTTCTACCATGCCTTCACCACCTCTGATGAAAGCCTCCCTCCTGAGGGAGTTCCCTGGGGGACTGGTCAGATAACATATGAACTTATCTTGTGATATGGCTCCACAGAAAATCAAAATCAAATTTTTAATTTCACTGGAATATATACATTTCTATTAGACAATGTGCTTGCGAGGCAAAAGACTTTCATAACAATATTTTTTATTAGGATAAAACTGGGGAGAAGAAACAGATCCATGGGGTCGAGGAGAAAAAGGAACAACGTACAGTTTCTTTCTGCTAAGAAAGAGTGTTTCAGCGTTTTTTACAAAAGGGAAATGAGGGGAAATTGCATTGATATTTAAATTCCACTTAGTCTATTTTAAAGAGCAATATTTCAGCTTTATTTTAAAATGTC